GAGAGGAAAGCAGGGGGCGAGCGGAGCGCCGCAGGCTGGGTGCTACCGGTGGGGATGTCTCGCGTTGTCTGCGGTGCGATAAAACTCACTCATAGTCGGGTAAGGCCCCGTCAAGCTGGTATTGACAAACTTCTCGTGTATTGGCCTTTTTTGTTTTTTTGGTCTTTATGGCAGTGTATAGCGTGGTGTGTAGTCAAGGCTGTAGGAATTAAATTGCATTTCTCCTCAGGAAGTAATATCCTACTGTCCTTGCCCTTCTGGAAGAAGTTTTGTTGTTTTGCTCTTTATTTTTTCCTCGAGGGAAACAAGTCTAAGCTACTTGTGTGCCGGGGTTGGGCAGCTTGGTCTGGGTCTGGCTTTCTAAGGTCTTTGTGGCAACCTGGTAAAGCATAATATGAAGCTGCAGCTCTGGCAGGGCAGAATGAGTAGGCATCTCGCTAAGGGCATCCTTTTCATGGCAGGTGATCTGCAGTGATAGGAAACAGCAACTGAAGCTGCACGCTGCCACGATCCACATGGCAAGGAAAAGTAAGGGGCCATCGGATGGAAGTAATTCTGACTTTCTGCGTTTCTAGGCTCGTGTGCTGCCTTCGTAAGGTTGGCTGTTGTGCCTACACCTGCTGGGTGTTATCAGAATTGCTGTGGACTTTGTCTCAGGTGAAAGGAAGTGGCTTGTTGCTGGGGAAAGTGGTAGCAGGAGAAGGTAACTTTACTTTTCTCCTGTTTGCTTTGTGCCTGTGAATGATCTACTGAGTTACAGCCGTATGTCTGGGTGCAGTATAGCCAAGGAAGAGCACGTGACTTGCTGGAGTGCAGCACAACTGCTTGTAAGGGGTGTGTGACTTTTCCTCGGTAGCACGTGGATTGGAGCTGTCAGAGCAAGGGAGCTGAGTGGCATTGGCTCCTCTGCCAATGGGTCACTGTGTGACCCTGCTCAGATCACTTAACCTCCTCATTCTTTAATGAGCTACCTGCGTAATGGGTGAGATACTCTGTAGCCTTCAGCTGACCTAATGTGCCTTTCATCCAGTAATCTTAATGTACATATGATGTAGCCTGAAAAAAAGGATAGTGCAGTTTCACTATATGTGTCTTGATTACACAGTTTTATTCTTGATTAATTGGCTTACATGTAAGTGCTCACCTAATGCTGAAGAAAATTAAAACTCTTTAGTAAGTTAAAAGGAGCAAGAAACCTGTAGAACTCAAGTTATGCTGTAAGCTTACTAGAACCCACCTTTTCATTACATAACTTTCTGTACCACTCACCTGACAGTCCCACAGCTTCTGTTTCCAGTGCTCCTTTGAGCTCTCCAAGGACTTCTAGAAGCTCTCATGAGACAGCAAGGCTTGGGGGAGTTGGGCACGCCAACCTCACTGTGGTGGTACAGTACCTTGCCCAATGGGGCCAATGATTGTTTGCTCTGCCAGACGTGAAACAAAATCCTGGAAGAGGCTGTCCAAGGATATCATTAGACTCTGGAGGAGCTGCGTGAGAGGGCTGTAGGAACCCAGGTTTTGTGTGTTCTTGTAGCTGCTGCTTATTTAGGTGTGCTCTCTGTAGTCGCACCAAGTTTCGATACCTGGCCGAGGATCCATGTTCCATCTTAAAGCTACCTGGAGGTGCTTTGGGATAGCTACGTTGAAAGTCTGTCTCTATCCTCTTTCATCAACTGCCTAGAAAGCCTGGGCTTTAACCTAGGCGTTCCCCAAAGCCTGAAGTTAGACAACAGGAATTCCCCTTGCCAGCCACAGTGTGAGATGAAGGCACCTGTAGTTCAGATCCATCATGCTACATAGGTTCCTAATTCCTGCAGATCCTCATAGGAGTTAACTATGAGAGGAGTCTGGTTGTTGAGGATTGCAGCCAAAGCTGTTCAGAGCCAGAAGCAGGTGACTTGCTACACTGAGACTCTTGTGCTCATTTCAAAAATGTTGCAGACTGTCTTTTGGGATATTTGAAACAAGTCTAGTTTTTGCAGTAGTAGAGTTATCTGAAGAGCGTAATACTTTTAAAGCAACATACCCTACTTATCTATAGCGCTCATCTTCCATGTGCGCTTAACTAATGTGAGCAATTTATTTAAGGTATTTCTAATGTCCATGGAGACTGTAATAAAATCAGGCTTGGTATCCCCAGGTGCCCTCCGCAACATCTAGAAGTAATTAAAAAACATGAATTACTTTCAGTTATTTAATGTTTGAGATCTAATGGCTGGCCTTCTTTAAACTGTGATTTCTAACTACAGTGCTCGTGTGGAACTCTTCACGCAAATGGCCTGGTTAAACTTTGTGAAGTGTAACTTCAGGCAGCCAGTTTGAAATACTTGTAAGGAGCTGTTTTATTCAGCAGGTGCTTAATATTTCCTGGAAGTTAAGGCTATTGAGTTTGCTTTTCGCAGGGATCCCAGAAGGTGATAGGTTTGCATGTAACTCATTGCTTTGCAGTCTGTGTTCAGCTGCTCTACTTATTAATTGTCCCCTGCAGGAGTTCTGTGCAACTTTGCTGCTGCATTTTATACACTAGCTGGAAGCTGACTATTAATTTATGGGATCTGTACATCACTATTGGCAGAGTTATTTCAGAAAAAGGTCACTTTAAATACACCTTCAGCTGACAAATCACTGCTTGTAGACCTGAAGAGGTCCTGGTGAAATTGCCTTTGACCTCTGCTGCCACCTGGCAATGAGGATGAGAAATTTACCATGTGCTGTGGCTGGGTTTGACTCCATGTGTATAAATAGCACCAGTTCCTGGCAAAAGCTTATGATCTCCATGTGCCTCTTCTGTTGGGGGCCTTAGCTTTGCATGGGGATAAATCTGTGAATTGGTAATTTGAAGTCTCTGGAACAAAGATTGGAGTATGCATCCCTGTAAAATTCAGTGCTGTGATCCTGCAGTTTTGCCCTTCCTTAAAGAAGAGTCTCTTTTGTAGTGAGCTTGGACTTGTGTTCCGTTTCCTACTGAAATTCAGGGTTAGGAAGAATTTTGTGGTGTTCATGGGTGCAGGAAAGAAATTCACACATCATTTCCCTAAAATATTCCAAGCTGAATGTAACTTACTATACTGTTTACTGCCAGGTGAAAAGGATGGGCTCCTGTCTGTAGCCAGAAGACCTATTTTCTGTTCCCTGTGATGCCTCCAACTCAGTGTGACTGTAGGAAGCTCACTTAATCTGTGCTTTTGAAAGACTTTTGACTTTGCTTTTGAAATAGGGTTGCCAAAAGCAGAGGAAAGGAGGCAGCCTGCAGTCTTTGTTGGGGGAAGCCTTTCTGTGTATGAGAACAGCCCCTAGCGTAATTTGGGCGAGGGCTTGTAGGTACTACTGTAATACAGATCAAAGTGAAGCCTGTCGCTCTCTGATTAGGTCTCAAGTATGTTGTATAACCTCTTGTAGTGAGCTTGTTAGCGCATACGAGTTATCTTCCTCCTTGTTCAGTTCAAATGTCTCTTGGTGAAACCTTTGCTGTTCCTTCCTAGCGTAGATGAATATAGAGTGCTTTTTTCACAGATGCCCGATAGCCTTCCTCTCTCTGCACTCCTGCAGTTTATTCTTAGCAAGCCAGGCTCTGTGCGCGAAGATTTCAACTGAACAACACTGCTTTTAGCTTTTCTATTTGTCTAGTCCAGCTTTTGTTTTGAGAAGCTGTTTATCAAGGTCTCATTGCTGTGCACAGTAAACCTTCTAGTGAGTAGGTCTTGATGCTGTTCTCTGGATACCTGTTTGGTCTCAACACTGCCTCTTTTCTCACTCTCTCTTACAGCAGTATCAGTGTTGTGATGTAAACCTCACTATTCTTTCTCCTTGAAAATTCAGATCTCTGTTTTTGCGTTGTGGGCAGAGTATATTGGAAGCCTTTGGTTAGTTTAGTCTCTGCTTTTGGGTGTTGTGAATGCATATTTTGTGGAAACTGAAGCAGATGCCAGGCATTTGATTTAGTTGCTTTTTAAAATTTTCATTTATAAGCTGTGTTTAGTGGACCTAAGTTCAGACAATGTCTCCAGTAGCAAAGGCTGCTTTTGTTTCATCAGTGTAGAAGCAAACACAAAAAGCATAAGATGTATTTGTTCTGAAATTCTGGAAAGTGATTTGTCTCATTCTCCAAGCTGGGTGAAAATGCAGAAAGAAAGAAAGACGATAAAATCTGGATTTTTGGAAAAGGTTTGCAGCACTGTGGTAGATTATAAAGGTAATAAAAGCTGCTTTGCCTGTGTTGTAGAGGACCAGTTCTCTTTCCTCTTTAATGCAAGACACTTTTTAAAAGTTAAGTCTGGACTGGTGGGTGTGTCAGGGAGGAAAGAGATTTTTTGAGAGAGACGGTGTGGGGGGGGTGAGGGAGGGAAATAATCCACCAAACCTCTGGGTAGTAACTTGAGGAACACAGTAAGGGACAGGGCACAGCTGAAGCAACCATGCTGGTTGCAGCTCAGTGTGTG